TATGAATAAAAGTTTCATCACAATTACTTTAAAATTTCATTTAACTTTACTGCTGTCTGGTCTTATGAGAAAGCAAATTGTATTTTAAACATTTAAGCAATGCCCTAAGGCAGTAATATTTCTCCAGAGAGAAAAACAATATAACACACGAGTATAATTTAAAAATTTCTATTAAAAATTAAGGACAGCTTAAATCAATTGCCGTAATTTAAAGCACAATATCCAAAAGATTATTATTTTTGACAGTGTAAATTGACTAAAAAATAAATGTATTTTTCAAGCTTCATCCTAAACTTCACTCTTGACCTCTCAGAGATATCTATGTTCACCACAGCTATATTCCATGTTTGAAATCTATGAATACCCTGACCTCAGCAAGGTGAAAAAACTGGACAACTTAGTTCTGTGTCATAGGTTGTGAAATAAACATACCAAACAACATTATGTCAGGGCCAAAGAATAGGAGAGACTCTGAACTTTGAGAGAGTTGCCATCTACAACTCAGAAGAAGTGTACAAAAGTGGACCCTGTTTCTCACAGGATTCTGGGCACAGATTCATTTCCATTTTAGATATCATACCATAAGCAAAAGAGATGAGCATCACTAGAGAGAAAACTCTAGGTCATAAGATAATCAGCCGGCCCCAGGACAGAGTGGACTGTTCACTGTTTTTCCACTCACAGGGGCCAAGATGGACTTGCATGTGCCCATGTCCACCGAAAGGGAAGAGCAGGGGCCGGGAATGTGGCTCAGTGGGTACAGTGCTCACCTCACATGTACAAGGCTAGGGTTCAATCCCCAGCCCTGCCCCCAAAAAAAGGAGGGTGGGAGGGGGCACAAAACAGCAGGTGCTCCAAAAAGGGGATAAGCCCCCCCCCCAGCAGCAGTTCTGCTCAGCCCCACTGTGCTTCTGGCAATGCTGGAGTGTAGCCAGGCCTTAGGTAAATAATACTATGCCCAAAAATTAAAATAAGAATGAAAACTTAATCGACTCTTTGGACTTATTCCCTCAGGAGCAATGGCCTCTTGAATCATCTGTCTTGACCTAGACACACCAAGAGAGACCCACAAGAGGACAAGAGCCACGAGGACCCCAGGACCCGGGAGGTTGGTAGATCTGTAGGAAACACTCCTGCCTCCACCAGGGCCCAGTCAAAATCATAGGAGAAACACAGAACACCCAGGCGTGTAAGGTTTTTAGATCTCAGGTTTGTGCTAGTGTAGCTAATGGCTGGACCCAAGAAAGACAAGTTGGACCAAATGTGTGGTAAGTACTAGATACCAGAATCAAAATAGTGACAATTTAAATCCTGCTCCTGGTGTCACTGGCTGTGTGACCTTGAACAAGTGATGCGCCTCTCTGAGCCTCAGATTCTTCATCTGAAAAAATGAGGCTGAGAATAGTAGCAATCTCCCAGAATGATGGATGCACTGTGCTGAGCACAGGGCAGGATGTAACAGAGGCATTCAGTAAACAGGAATGGGGGGCTTTACAAAGCTGTGTGGGAAGACCCAAGAGGGATTAAGTGACTGGCCCACCTGCAGGGACAGGTTCCTATAGACCCACTCAGGACAGATGTGAGAAATTGGTGAGGCAGGGGCAGAGGAGAACTCAGCACCATGAGTCCTCAAGGCTGTCTTCACCAAGGATCAACTAAATAATTAACTAGCAGGTCCAGGACACTTTGCCATGAGTGGAAATACATTTTAGTTCCACCAGTTGTTCAAGGTCCGAACAGCCATTAAGAGTAGCCAGGACTGGACCCTCACTGGTCCAGGTGAATGTCATCATTACAAACAATTAGAAATATTATTAGGAACAGCAAGCCACCAGAAGCCATACCTAACTGTATTTTGCAGCTCCCTATCGTCTTGTTGAGATTCACTTGGAACCTGCTGCAGATCTGCCGCTTGGGGGAGATGAGGGGCGCCGGGGTGAACTGCTGCTGCACGGACTCACTCAGCTCCTTCAGGTCCATCTCGGCTTTGCTACGATCTGGAAGACACCACCACACCCTCGTAAGCCCAGGCACAGGGCCCGAGTGGTACTCACCACTGAGCTTCCCCCAGCAACATGGGAGGCTGGAGTGATGACCAGCGAGCTCCTGCAGCAGGCGGATTCCCACTGTCAGCTTTCAGGTGTAAGCTGGAGGGTTCCAGGCAGAGAGTCTGTGGGACCCGAGACCCTCCAAAGCCAGAGGAGCTCAGTCTCACAATCAGCTGGGACAGAACACCCGGCATCCAAAATCTGCTCCAAACTCCCCAAGCCCAGTGAGGAGGGATTCTACCCAAATGAGGCTCAGGGCCCCTGGAGACACCTGGGGCTGGGGACCCTGGCTGCCTACCATCCACAGAGGCTTCCTTGGTCATTCCTGGTCTACCCAACCTGGGGATCTGACTAGAAAAGGAAAACATGGGAGAGGAGGTCTTCCCGGCTGTGCCTCCCTTCACCTGACAGCCTCCACAGAGGCCAGGTAAGTAGATTCCTCCTGGACACTAACCTGTGACCAACAGGTCTCTCAGGTAAGAACCAAAGTTCCTCATCATGACTCCCAGGCAAAGCCCTCTGCGATGACATCCCCTAACCCAAGTCTCTTCCGTCACTCCACCAAGGGCTCTTTGTATGATCAAATGGGCCAATGAGCCCATGTTGATGAACTTGCTCTCCCATCCCAAAGCAAGGTAAGAGGAAGAGAACTATGCTGGCCACAAAGGTTCATAAAGCAGTGAGAGATCACGGGGGAGGGGAGCCTGTCTTTTCCTTGACCTTATCCTGTGGCATCCCCTCCAACCCAAACCAGCCAACCCCAGAACACAGGTGAGAAAGCAGGTGACATCTGATCACCCACCAGAGAGGAGAAGCCACCTCTGAGCCTGTTCCTAGCCACTGTGGGCTCATCTCCTGGACTTCACTTCAGTCCCCTGCTGACCCCGCTCCCAAGGCAACCTATTCACTGGCCTGTTAAAGAAGCCCCAGGAGATCATCCCAGAGCTTGCAAAGCTTTCACTTGCTTTTCTCCTTCTGTTTTGGCATGACCCAAAGCCCTTCACCTTCAACCAGTGAGTGCATTCTCCAGCACTGCACTTAGAGAAACCAGTTCATTTAGTGACCAAAAGGAGCGAGGTCCCCAAAACCCCCACCCAACAGAAACAACAAACTGCTCCAACGAACTTCCTTCCCACCCAGGTTAACTGGGAAGGGCTCTTTCCTCAAAACGTGCAAGATTCTGGAAGTAAGTGCCCAAAGCTAGCAAAGACGCTACTGCTGATTCCAGAAAAGCACCCTCAAAAGTCCAGGTGTGCAAGTGTTCCCGCATGTGTGTGTGCACTGTGTGTTCACAGGCCCATCGGAAGGCTGTTCAGAGAGGCCCTCAAGGGAGGGAGGAAGCCTGGGAGGAAAGAACGTTCATTCAGATTTCCTCAAGGAAGAACTAGAAACTCACCTGCACCTGCCTGGATCTTCAGCTTACAAAGAGCATTGATAGTGAAACAGCAGCACAGCGTGCCAACCCCATGGCAAACTAACCGAGGCTCACGTGGAGTGCAAAACACCCCGTGCCTCTTCCTCGGGTGCTTTAATGTTAACGGGGTTAAAAACAAATATGAAGAAACAAACCCCAAAATAAAAAAAATATACATGTGCTGACATATGGCATCCGTCCCGCCCTCAGAAACCCTGACTTACAGTCTGGGAGAGCTGGGGAAACTCCCTAGGTCACTCTTAGGGGCAGCTGTGGTTGAGACCCTGGTGTAAGACCACTTCTGTGAGTAAAGAAATCCTGCACAGCCTTCACCCCAGTAGCTCCATCACCTCATGGGGCTCATCAAGAGACAGCCCTCACCTGAGCCCTCAACCTGTGTTGCATGTGTGTGTGCGTGCATGCCTGTGATAGATGCGGCCCTTCAAGTTTACTCTAGGAAGACTCACCTGTTGCACATTCACAGGAAGAACACAACAAAATAAGGGTTCTCGCCTCGACCAATGGCTACTATGTCCGTTCTTGTTAAGAATAAGCCACCAGGGGCTGTGACTGAAGCACGGGAGCAGAGCTGCTGAGAGACATAGCTGAGTAGGAATGACGCATGGCATTTGGGGTTGAAAGGTGACGCCAGCAAGCCATTGAGATGATTATGGTTATGTTAAGATGTTTATTCAATTGGATATTAGATCCCTGCTGTCCGCCTCAGCCTGCTACTTTGGAGCTCTCATGGGGACTCCCAGAGAGTTCCCATTGGTTGGGGAAGTGTGGTAGGATGGATTTCCGGAGGAGGGTTTCCTGGGAGAAGGCCATGTGCCTGGCATTCGCGGGAGTTTTGGAAACAAAGTTTGTTCCTGCTTGAGTGGCTCCTGATTTTGTGCCTAGCCAGACTGCAGCACAGAGCACTTGCCCAGCACATGTGAGGCCCTGGGTTCAAACCTCAGCACCACATAAAAAAAATTTAAAACATAAAATAAAGATAATAGGTCCATATGCAACTAAAAACAAAAACAAAAACAAAAAAACCAAGAAAGAAAGAAAGAAAAAAATAAACCACCAGCCAGGCATGGTGGCACACACCTGTAATTCCAGTAACTCATGAGGCTGAGGCAGGAAGCTCAAGTGTTCAAAGTCATCCTCAGCAACTCAGTGAGCCTTGGTCTCTAAATAAAATATAAAAAGGGTTGGGGATGTGGGTCAGTGGTTGAATGCTCCTGGGGTAAATCCCCACTTCCAAAAAAAAAAAAAAACAAAGAAAGAAATCACCAAGTGTGGGGGGCTGGGCTCAGGCCCTGGGACCTTGGGAGCTTTAGCATTTTGCAATCAGCAGCATTTGGGGCTCTCTCTCTCCTCCACAGGGAGAAGGAACAGTGTCTCTGTTCCTCTGGCTTGTGGTAGCTTATCAGGACTTCTCCTACCCCTGCCCTTCTATATCAGGACCATCTTCAGAATTCACTGTCCTGCCAGGATTTTGAACTTTTCAGTTGATATGAAGACAGCTCAGCCTATAAATGGAAGCCCAGGATTAAAAAAATATATATCTGTGCTAGAGAAAGCCACATTTCTGCAGGGAGCACAAATGAGAACAACCTCTTTAGAGATCAACTTGGCAATCTCTCTCAAAATGTCAACTGCACGGGGCCTCCAACCTCCACTCCACCTCTAGGAGTTTACCCTACGGACACTGACCCCCATGGCCAAAAATCATTATTCACTGTAGCTGTTTTCAATAACCAAAAAAATGAACAACAACCCGGAGTCAATAAATAAGGTATCTGAATAAACAGCTTAAAAATAAGCAGATCTCCTTTGTTTTAAAGCTGTTGGCAAACTATGATGAATGGACTTCCAGGAGCTACAACATGGCGGCTCCTTCAAGGAAACAGTTCGATAGACAAGAGACCCTGGCAGAAGTCCCTCTCAACCAAAACCCATCAGAGGGCTTCCCAGCCCATTCGTTGTAAGGAAGTGAGAGAACATCTGGGCAGCCCAGGCCCGGCTCACACCATGCTCTTAAGGAATGGCTGGTTTCCAAGGGACTGCCCTGCACAGGGACAAAGGTGGCCCCTGTCAGTGATAGCAGAATGACAGCAGCAATGCTCTAGGCCAGACAGCTCTCCACTGCTCCGTCAGCACCTTCAACAGAGCACCTGGGCACACTGTGGCCACCACCAGGAGCACTAGCCTGCTGGCCCTTCACCTCTGCACCAGGGGCTCTAGAAGGAGACAAGAATCCAGCACTGTGTTCTCAGATTTCAGGTTTTGGGTGTGTGATTTATCACTGCCATTAAATCACAGAAGGGGGCCTGAAACAAGCCAGCGGGACTTGGCTTCTGTCTGAAGGAGGAGAGCAGAGGCCAGAGACAGCAAGTGAGGGCAGCGAGCCGGTGGGCAGGAGCCACTCCCTACCCCTCCCCTGCCCCGCCCCACGGCAGTGCAGGAACCTTGACTCACTGAGCCCAGCCATTAAACCAGCTGCCAGCCCAGGGGCCGGGCTTTGTATTTTGGGTTGCTGTATTTGGCTCTCCAAGTAGAGTTTTATGATTTGCTTTTAATGCAGATGAGCCAGTTTTTATTTTAATTTGGGGCACTGGGGGGAATGGGGAGGGGACCTAGGGACACACTACCACTGAGCTGTATTTCCACAGCCTTTTTACAAATTTTGAGCCAGAGTCTCATTAAGATGCTTAGGGCCTTGCTAAGTTGCTGAAGCTTGTCTCAAACTTGGGATCCTCCTGCCTCGGCCTCCCCAGTCACTGGGATTACAGGTGTGCACCACTGCACTCAGTTCCAACAGCCAAGACTTTAAATCTAGGAGGGTACATGCTTATACAGGGAATTCTAATCTTTAATTCCAAACACAGATGCAATGGGCAGGAGCTTCCTCCTTTGTCCCCCATGTTATCACTGCTCAGAGAGAATCTTCACCTAACCCTGACCCCTGGGCTGACCTACCCAAGAAGCACAGTAGACTTCCAGTGCTAGGCCTTTGAGCCTAGCACAGCCCTGGCTCACAGCTCAGGGTTATCAGCTCCATCTTTCCAGACAGGCTGGAGCCGGAAGGCCAAGCCCCACCCAAATCCTGTGTGACTGTGCACAGGTGACTTTGCTTCTCGGTGCCTCCCTTGTCCTTCCACAAAATGGGGCTGTCTTATCTACTTAAAAGGCTGTGCTGCTTGTTTATTTTAAAAAGTCATTTAATCTAGAGAGAGTAAAAATTCATTTTGGAGGAAATCCAGCTCTGTCTGAACAGAGGCACAGATGCACAAATCCCCCAGGGCAAGACCTTGTCCCCAAGTGCTCCCTCCTGGTCTGCAGCCCAACCCTCCTCCACCCCAACCCCGGGCTGCTTCCATCACTATGATTTTGCCTTTTCCAGTGTTCTGTCTATCTGTCCGTTTGTCTTTGTTTTTGTTTTGGTTTTTTTTTAATGGAATTCTGTTTTGTGACTGTTACCGTCATCCATCTGTCTCTGGCACTCTGTATCGCTCCTGTCTGGCGAAGGCTGCCACAGGGACAGACGTGACTAAGTCCACAAATCTCGCACTCAGCCCCAGGCAGGGCTGGAACCCCTTAGCACTGCCCTTGCTGGCCTTCCGGACCCAGTGGATCCTCGCCCATGAGGGACCTGAGATCCCAGCTCACACGCCTTCATCCCTGCTTGGAAGGAGGCAAAACTGCCCAGTGTGTTGGGGACTAGGGGCCTACAGGGAGGGGGCAGGAACCACAGCCAGCACCATTGCCCATGGCCATGCCCCACCCACCAGACACGCCCCAGGAAGGGTCCTGCACTTCCACATATGTGAGTCAAGCCACACTGAGAGACCCACAGTGTCACCAGGATGCCTGCTGGTCACCCTATTTAGGGAAGGAGCTATTCTGGCCTCACATAACTGACAGAGAGAAATGCAGGGAGCAGGACACTGCACAGCCTGGCTGCTCGAGTGTGCAGGAAGGAGGAGGCTGTGGAAAAGGAGGCCACCACCCTGGGAATTATAGGAAACAGTCAATGTTCCCAAGGCAGCAAGTGGGTTCCCTTTTGTTCTAGTCACTCTGAATCTGAAACCCCAAGCTCCACCCTGAGTCCCCTGTTCCACCTGGGCTGTGAGAACAGACAACCCAGCATGCAGGAGACCCAGGCTCTAAGGACAGACAGCTGGGCTCCAGCTGGGCTGCTGGGCACTGCTGGGCACCCAAGGTGCTGTCCAGACCTGGTGTCTCCCAGCTCCAGAGGCACTGCATGCCCCTAGCCCTGCCTGTCTAGATGGCCAGCACTCACCTCCCGCAGAGCTGGCCTCAGAGCGCCTGCCACCAAGTGCCCTCTGCCCTTCCCACCTGGGGGCCCGACAAGCATCTTAAACAGACTCCAAGGGGAGCTCTTAGCCCATAGCTCTGCCGCTGGCCAGGGAGTTGGCCAAGTTACCGCATGGTCCAGGAGTTCCATGCCATGAGGATCCTGGGCACCACAGGAAACTCAGCGGCACTGGGGACAAGCAAATGTCCCAGACATGGCCACATGTGGGGTGGAGACACAACTGACCAGACAAATGACTGATCAACAGAGAGTTGTCTTTCTGACACCTCAGGTGAGCACAGGTCCCTCCACCTCTTGGTCTGCAAGCCCTCAATGGACTCACCTTCTGCCCCTGCCCACGGGATGCAGCCACCTCGGCCTCTTGGCCACTCCTACAGCACAGTGAGTGGGTCCTCACCCACCACCTCTAGGACCTCTTTTTTCCCCTAGAATGTTCTTCCTCCTGTTAGCACAGCTGGTTCTTCCTCCCAGGTGTTTACGGAGGTGTGAACCCTCTTGTCCATCTACATTGAGTTCACTCTCTGGACCAGAAGCTTTGAAAGAGCCAGGTTCCTAGCTGACTGGCTAACCTCTCTTCCAGGAGAACAAAAGCAGGAGTCATGACAGAATGGCTCAAAATGACTTCGCACTTGGCTCTTTCGCATTACTAGTGCATGTTTGTAACACTTTGGCCTAACAGGTTTATTTTTTTTCTCCTAACAGTAGTTTCTAAATAACCAACTAAAACCCAATGAATTAAAAGATAATAATTCAAGGGATGAAAATCAATATCAGAAAATTACAGGGAACAGTGTATCAGAGTACACTGGCTGCAGAAATGTTAATACTGGTTCATGGAACTTCTTTTCACCATATATATATATTTTCACATATCAGTGATCTGGCTTATAGGCTTAAGGAGAAACAAGCTTCTGAACACTGACCTAAGGCCCTTCAAGATAAGAACAACTGCAAATGGGTGTGGTGTCACATGCCTGTTATTCCAGTGACTCAGGAGGCTGAGGCCCCAAGGACTGCAAGTTCAAGGCCAGCCTCTGTAACTCAGTGAGGCCATGCCAAAAACAAAACAAAGTTAAGGAGGGCTGGGGGCATGACTCACCTCACCTTCACCCACTGCGCCTTTTTAATTATCTGCACAGAGAAAAGAGTTCAAAGGTTCAAGAACTACACATAAAAAAGGACATTACAATGGCCAAGTCACAATTGTCTCAGAAAGATTCTGCCAGAAGTGCCAACTGACCCAGGTTAAGGTTCAGGATGCTTCCGGTGGTGGATGTCTTGTCCGTTTTCATCATGATGGGTGCAGTCGCTTGCGGGGAGAAAGGCTTCGGGCTGCTGGACAGACTCCCTGCCTGTCCTGTCTTCATGGAGGCTGGTGAGGCTGAAAAGGTACGGCACCGTTAGAAGACAGACTTACACACCAACAGGAGCACCAGCAGGCACAGGTGGGGCCGGGGGAAAGACAGGCATGGTTTTCATTCTGGCTGGGACACGGGTGTGCGGAAGGAGAGAGTGGGGCTGGCTGGTGGTTGATTTCCAGTGTCACACAACGCTAAGCCGTTAAAGCCACCAGGAAGGTGGCCTCCCAGTCCTCTATTAAACACAAAGCTCTAAGACAAATCGGCTAAGCTGCCAATGAAATTGGTTTGGCCCATCCACGGGTGTAAATCTCAAAATAAACATCAGTAAGTTGCAGCAGCCCCCACGAGGTCCAGATGTGGAGATCAGGAGCAAGGCTGGAAAATGGCATGGCCTCGATGGGCAGGGGGACAGGGGAAGCTCAAACAGCCCACACCTGCTGGGGAGCAGCCAGGCCCAGGAAGCAGCCAGGCCCAGGGAGATCTGCAGCAACTGGTCCAGAGGTTCCCAGGCTGCAGATAACCCTTCTCAGGACCAGACAGAGGGAGGGAGCCTTTGGTGATTATCCCCTCCTTCTGTGTTTGGAACTTCAACAGGGGGACAAAGGTGGTCCTGCAGCCTGTGGCTTTGAACCTCCAACTACCTACCACCCACCTGCTGCCTCTGTGCCTCCCTTTGCTGGGGGAGAGATAAGGAAGACAGAAACCAAAGTGCTTCTTTTAATAAAACAAAGAGCCAACCAGAGCCCCTCAGACCCTGCCCGCTGGCCATGGCCACTCGACTGCATTGGGACTGTACCATGGGGCCTGCTGGGCTCCTCTAAACCATCTGGGTCTAAAGCCATGACCCACGATAAATGGCCAGTTCTCCTCAGACAGGCAAGCAACCTCAACTGAAGTAACTTGGTCTTGACAGACAGCTACTGATGGCAAAGGGAGCAGGAATGAGACTCCCCAGGGACTTCAAAAACGCTCATCCACTGGGGCAGGGGCAGGCCTCCGCCCCCTCGCTTTCCCAACACAGATATGCAGAAAAGGGACCCCACGGGCTCGCTCTGCACACCAGCTCCAAGGCTCGGTGTCCATCAGCCAAGCTCGGCCCAGCACCTGTCAACTTTATCTTCATGTAATTTGGTGGGAAAGACTGTGGGGGCCTGGAGTAAGCAAGGGTCAGGAGGCAAACACTGCAGTTCCAATCCCAGCCCAGCTGCTGGCCTGCTGTGTGGCCTTGGGCAGGCAGCCCCACAGCCCCCAACCTGGAAGCAGCAGAGGGGGATGCTCAGAACTTTATCTGAGGGGAGGAGGAAAGCTACACCTCCTGTGGTCACTGTGGGGAGTGAATCTAGCAACTCTCCATCATCCGAGCCTCACCTGGAACCTACCAAGTGCTTGACCCTTGCTTGCTGTTGGGCACTTGTTTTCTATGTCCTCACTGACCTCGAAGGCTTCAGTTTCATCATTGAACCCGTGACTCTCAGCCAGAAGCAAATGCACCCCCCACCAGGACAGGACTGGCAATTTGCATGGGCAATTTTGGTGGCCAGCACAAGTGGAGCAGGGCTGCTGCTGGTAATTAGTAGGGAGAGACACAGGACACCGCTAAATGTCCTCTGACACCCCACAGCCAAGAACTACTTAGCCCCCAATGCCACATGGAAATCTTCTTCTCCCGAGAAGCGAGGGCAGGGGTGAGGGCTAGATGGGCCCATCCACTAGTGCTTAAGCAAGTGCTCAATTAACGGGAGAAATCATCTTGAGAATTAGGTTTTAAAAATATTCAATTAGGTCCATTCTACTGCAAGGACTGGCGGATTGGCAGACTGGCCCAGCCGTGGCACAGAGCAGTCCTTCAACTGGGGGCATTGCTGCCACTATCACCTTCATTTCCATGGGACACAAAGAAACAAGATGAACACAAGGCATTTTAAGGAAACATGTCCAATAAAATCTTTACTATGGACTTTTAAATAATTTATTTGTGTATGTCGTACCTTCTTGCAGACGAGATTTGTGATAGCTAAAAAGATCCAAATAATGAATTCCCTGTGCAGATGGAGGACCAGAGCTTCTCTAATTCCTATAAACTAGCAAGTCAGGAACTGCTTGGGAACTGACAAGGAGACCTAATCCTGAGGGACAGCAGAGCAACTGAGTGCACAGAACCCAAAACAGAGAGTCCCCTGCTTACGGGGTCAAGTTCAAGTGAAGAGCAGGCAAGTGCAGCCAACAGGGGCTCTAGCAGGACAGTCGTACCTGAGATCCTGCTGTGGGTTGTAGCAACACACAGGAAGAAGTCAATTTTTTAACTGTCATATACATGCATGTGTATTAAAAATAATAATTGGAAGCCTTTAACTCTATGGATGCTTTCTTTTTGTTAACCTTTAAATATTAGGATTGAAGAAACGGTCATACCACATGGCTGTGGCAAGAATGAGGTAGTTTCCTCTGGTTTCCAGTGAAGATGGTTCTGGACAGGAGAGGGCCCACTCATCCCCCAGGGGTCTAGGACTGCAAAGCTTCACAGACTTGGGAAGGAACACAGCTTTAGGGTCATCTAGCAACCCACAGATCCCATTTGGGCAGAACTCTATCTCCTTAAGAAAGAGACCTTCCATGCCACCTCCAAATGCACCCTGTCCCAACTCCCCAGCCTGTGTAATGTCCTGTACCTGACCTGTCCTCCTCCTAGCAGTTAATGCCATGACCATCCCCTTGTTAGTTCAAGTCTAAAACCCTCCACCAATGCAATTCCTTGAGCGTCCTCGGGCCTCTAACAACCTGACTCTTCACTGAGGTCTGTGCACCCCACTTCACCCCGCCTCTTCATGACCTCCACTCCTGCTGTCCTGTCTCCACACATGCTGCACAGGGTGCTGGAGGCCAGGAGTGTCTGGCTCCCCTTCTGTGTCAGGCACAGGGGCACACGAAGTACGAAACATCCACCCAACACAAGCCCCTGATCTGAAAATCCAAAACGCTCCAGAACTTGACCTTTCTTTCTTGGTGCTAGGATGGGATCCAGGACTTTGTACTCTAACACTGAGCCTCCCCTGCCAGCCCTGGCTCAGAGCTCTGTGAGCACCCACCACAGCAGGAGTGCAGAATTCCACACCTGACCTCAGGAAGCTGTGCGAGCAACACAGTGGCACCAAAAATAATGCATCAGTTACATCCAGTCCTTGACCCCAAAGGTCTCCAGCCACACCTGGGAGGGGCAGCCAGATTCCACCTCCAGCCTTTACACCTGCCCCCACACTGGCCCGCTGGTCCCCCAATGTCACCTCCTCAGAGCTCTCCCTTGCTGGCCCATCTAAAGAGACATTGGTTTATGGCTCCCTGTGGCTGTGAGAATGTCAGAGAACAGTTCCTCCAGGCTACCAGACCCCCAAGTCACAGCCCAACACGTCCTGAGCAACTACTACATTCACCGAAGAACGAGGACTCTGCTTCTCCTCTCCTTATGGTGGTCATGACAAGCACCAAAGACATAATAAAGACAACCAAATACGACGTTTTCATATAGAATCATCAGTAGAGTCCATCTTCATATGGTGCCCTACTACAAATAAGGCTGGGTGATCAGTGACACAAAGATATAGGGCCAGGGATGCAGCCATGTGGGAGGGCACTTGTCGGGCATGCACAAGGCCCTGGATTCCAGGAAAGGGAAGGGGAGGAGAGGGGAGGAGAGGGGAGGGGACAACACAGCATATTGCATGATGACATAGGAAGATGTCAAGTTGAAGGAAGCTTGGGTCTCTTCCAAAGTATGTGGAATATTGTGTACTCAGAAAAAAGACACAAAATTAAACGTTAAAATTAAAATATTGAAGAATTTCAAATAATCATATCACCAACGCTAAAGTCCAAAAGACTGACATATGACGTATATTAAATCCAAGGTTCTTAACAGGGACTGGAGGGGTAACTTTGCCTCCGGGGACATCTGGCAATAAATGTTCAGAGGCATTTTTGCCTGTTGCAATCCTGTGATGTGGGTGCTCCTGGCATCTCAGGGGAAGAGGCAAAGGAATCTGCTGGACATTTTCCAGTGCACAGGACAGACTCCACAACAGACTTGTCCAGCCCAAATGTCAAGAGAACCGGGGTTGAGAAACACTGCTTTAAATCATTCTAGACATTTCAATTAAACTTTGAAACAGACGCCAATCCTTTTAGAAAGCCATAAATTTTGCCCAAAGGAAGAACTAACTGCCTTTGAAGTCACAAATAATTTAATCAGATTTTACACTTTGATGTATAATTCATGAGTGTTGGCTAAAACACATCATCTATTATCTCCATTTACAAAACCCTGACCTGAGCTAAGTGCTATTCTGACTCCATGAAACATAGGAGTCTTAGAAGTAAATTAGAAAAATGTGCCCCTCGTTCTCTCCCACACACCCGACACTGGGGCCAGTTGGGTGGAGGACTTAATGATTCATGCTAAATGTGCAGAACTCACAAAACTTGAAAATAACGTATATGTCCAAAGGGCTGCACCTTGCACAAGCTCAGGTGCCTCGGGACAGGTGAGCCGAGCGGCAGACTGACTCCAGATGGTCTAGGGTGGGCTAAGAGGTGTTAGGAAAGTGCTGTTTTTAAGAGTTATTTACTAACACAGAAACACACCTGGGGGCTGGGGATGTGGCTCAAGCGGTAGCGTGCTTGCCTGGCATGCGTGCGGCCCTGGTTCAATCCTCAGCACCACATAAAACAAAGATGTTGTGTCTGCCGAGAACTAAAAACTAAATATTGAAATTCTCTCTCTCTCTCTCTCTCTCTCTCTCTCTCTCTCTCTCTCTCTCAAAAAAAAATCCTTCTTTAAAAAATAAATAAAAACTCTTAAAAAAATAAACACAACTGGAGGGGTAAGATGCCAGGTGCAGTAGCACGTACCTGTGTCACGCCTACTTGGGAGGCTGAGGAAGGAAGATCCCTTGTATTCAGAAGTCCAAGGCCAGCCTGGTCAACACAACAAGATCTCATTTCAATAATGAAAGAAAATGAGGCTCAAAATTAAAACAAGAACAACAAAAATCCTACACCGTTTACACCAGACATGGAAACCAGAGGATCCATGAACTAAAGCAGTTCACAAATACGTTTGATTCAGGATAGTGAGATTTTTAGAAAATTTGAAACAGTGGGTACAAATTGGGGTAGTTTGCAATTGAAAAACCATTTGCGGATACTCTTGAAATATCACCAATCTGGCAATATGAAGCCTGCTTAGCTCCCTTAGCCAGAACCAGGTGCAAGACAAGGCCCCAGTAGCTCACTCCACATTTTGAGAGCTACAGGTCAATCAAGATCCATTAGTGAGCTATAAGCATCTCCTTTATGATAAAACAAACAAAAACACAGACATTAGAAATGCATCCAGTTATCAGAAGAATGAGCATGTGTGGCAGTGTTACCCAAATGTGCACATAGGCAGACATGTGTGACAGGTTGGGACAGCTGTGTCTTGCTGCTTTCCTCGCCAGTCTCCACCACGTCTGACCTATGCATCTCCATAGCATCCAAGTCCTTGGGGGACTATTTCAAGTTTTCAGTTTAATAGTGTTGACCTATAAACCTATCCCCCTAAAGGCCCTAAAATAACATCGGAGGGCTGACTATGGGAGGTGGGATCATTAGTGACTTTAGTTCTTGTAATTAACAATTATCTTACAACAAAGAATTATTGATGTCACCATGAGATGGAGAACATAGAACTGCATTCCCTGCTCCCTTAATGGTACCCCACAGTGTAGCTATGACACCGAAGGACCATTAGCCCCAAGAGGGGCAAGAGCAGGCCTCAGGATGCTCCCCTAATACATTTTAATGTCTTGCACGGGGATCCTGAAAGCTAATATTGGTGAAGGCATCAATTCTGGCCAGGAGGCCTACAGAGATAAGGAACCAGAAAAACCACTGAGAATGAAAACCACTTTGGCCATCAACCTGCGGGATTCCAGGAACCCGTGAGCTAATGGCTGCCCACTGACCCAAGAGCTTCTCAGAGAGCAAATACAGCCCGGAGAAGGAGGGCACATGTCTGCGCCTCTAATCCTCCAAACAAAAGGGAGATTTCCAAAGTCTCTTAGAAATTTTATAGAATATCTTATTCCAAATTTGTGGCTTTGTGCTGCGACTTGCATATTTTGTCACTGTCATAAACTACTTATATGGTTTTCCTATCTTATGACATGACAGGTCTTCTCTTTAAAGCAGGATTTTGGATAAGCCACAGCTTTGTCTCCATTGTGTCTCATGGGGGCCATTAATAGCTCCTGCTCCCTGTTAACAAAAATGCTCCTGTCACTGGGACAGCAGAGGGCAGCAGGCTGCCATGGGAGGAAGCAGGATCTGTGCCTCCCCTGCGCTCTGCAGGGCCCTCGATGGCACCCATGAGAGTTGCCCCTAACTTTCTCAGTCTGCAGACGTGGTTGTCAAAGTTGGGCCACGGGTGGAATCTCACATGCCACCTGTTCCATATGGCCTGCAAACTACAAGGATTTGACATTTTAAGGTGGCTGGGAGGGAAGAAGGAATTAAAAGTTCATATAAAGCATGCAAGTCACACGAAAATCAAATTCCAGTGTCCACCAACAAAGTTTTATTAGAACTCTCCCACCTCATGTCTACAGCTGCAAAATACACTTTAAGACCTAAAATAGCTACTACTTGACCCCTTACAGAAACAGGGGCCTTTTGTAAGATTAAAATGACTCTGGCTGGGTGGGGTGGAGCATGCCTATAATCCCAGCTACCCTGGAGGCTGAGGCAGGAGGATTGCAAGATCAAGAATTGCTCTGGGGTGCAACTCCTGCCTGGCATGGGTAAGGCCCTGCATTCGATCCCAGTGTCACCAAAACAACAACAACATTCTAAGTGTCATCCCTGATTCCTACATTATTGGGCTCAGGATTAGCCAAGTCCTGAGCACATATTGAGCAAGAGAGTTATAATTTAGGAAAGAAGCTCTGTAGTTTAAAGGGAATCTACTGGCTCTCACCTAAAAACCCAAATGATGAGGAATTTTGTCACAAAGTATAAGGCCATCTATCCCTCACAGAAGGAAGAGAGAGGCTAAATTAAACACATTAGATGTGTTCTAATAGTACAAACTGTATTTTCTTGACATGTGGCCCAGGAGAACTAGTGGCAGTTTACACACCAGCATTTTTTATTTTACTGTAGCAACTTCTGTATTAACATCAGTGAACTTCATGGCATTAAGGGGAAAAAAACAAGAAGCCATTTAAAAACAGGGGCTTACATATTTCACTTTGCATAGACCAAAGCTGAGTTGCAGATCCAACACCCAACAATGGAACAAAGCTCCACAGAAAGTGACGGGGACTCGAAGCATAGCCACCCAAACTGAAATCCCACCTTCTCAAGCTCTCTATGAAAACTAACAGTCCGAGGGTCCAGGGGATCCAGACCATGCTTGTTCTGTGAACTTCGCTTCCACAGAACCATGCGTGGAATTAAAGTATGATTTTAAGGACCTCGGGTAAGAAACAAGAGGACAAAAGGAAAGACCTTCTGACACTGTCCACACAAGCTATGGGCTCCAGGGACAACATCCTACAGCTGCACTGTGAGTATGGGGGACCCCAGGGTACATGGCAGAGCTGCAGTCTGTTATAACAAAGACCCTGCAGCCATCCAGCACCAATGCTCTGCCTCCCTGCAGCCATCCAGGGACAACGCAGGAGAATCGGTGCACTTCTGAGTACAGAGCCACCAAGTCCCCATTATTATTTTACCTTTAGGGCTATTAGCAGTCTCCTGAAGAGCGGATGGCTGATCCTTCAGGACTCTCTTATCTTTAGTGGTTCCACAGTCGTCATATGCTAGTAAGTTCTATTGCTGGGCTCTAGTCTCCCATTGCTTATTATGATAAAAAAAATCTCAAGTGAAAATCGTTTTATGGTGCAAGTGGGAAGATGGGGCGTCGACTGAAGGTGAGCACTTTAGCTCTAAGTCTAAAGCTGCTTCTCCAACTTCACATGTGCTACCCCAGAAAACACCCCAAGACATCTCAGCCTGACATTTAATAAGTGGAGATTTTACTTAAAAATCCACATTTTCCATTTCTCTGGGAGAATATCAAGATCTGAAAGCCCCAAGGCCACATTCTTGCATGGTGGCCACAGGTGAAGTCCCTGAGATAAGGCACATGCCCTGGGTGTCCCCCTCTCCACCATTATCAACAGCCGGCTAACCAGGAATCATCATGCTGGGTTCAGAAGGTTCTCTGTGCCCATATCTCAAAGGCAGAGCAACAAAAAACGAGAATACCACAATTCAAGAAAAGTAGCAAAACCACTTCCTCATGAAGGCAATGACGTTTATAGAATATTTAACACATGACCAAATTTTTTGAGGAAGAAAGAATTCTTTCAAGTCAACATTACTTTTCTTCCTCTCAGCCAGTGGCCATCCCTGCTGGCATCAGTTCCCTGATCCACGTGGACAGCAGCACCAGGAGAAGCAGCAGCCAGCACTTGCACAGCGTTTGCTTTCTGGGGCACTGTCCTAAGTATATCTCAACTCCTCTTACTTACAAAGAACCTCCCAGGCACATTGTTAAGATCCTCACGTTACAGAGGGGAAACTGAGGCACTGAGACCATAAGCACCCTGCCCAAATGCTCCACATGCCCCACACATGTCCCTAACAAGCAATATAACTGTGAGACAGGTGACCCTGGAGGAGCAGGACAACTTCAGGGAGACCTGCAATGACATTTTCATATCAACTTTATTTATTTTTTGAATGTGGTGCCGAGGATCAAACCAAATACCTCTCATGTGCTAGGCAAGCACTCTACACCAAGCCAGGACCCCAGCCCCACAAGGACTTTTTACTGTATGTGTTTCTATGATATTTGAGCACGGAATGTGAATGTACTGAGAAGTCAATTAATTTATTAAAATAAAATCCTTAGAGAAGAACAGAGTTATGGGGAGTTTGCTGTGATTAGTCCAAGAGATAGTGACATTAGAAGTGAACTCTAAAAGAATTTCCGGCCACCTCCACTCAGGTGTAGGAATGAATTCTAGTGAGCCTTTTGGAAACACTAATCTCATTTGTAGGTCACACAGAGCAAGGATCTCATCTAATCACTCATTGAAAATTTGCAGGCAGGGAAGCATAACCCTGCAGTTCTCGTGGAGGCTACGGGTTCGGGCTCTCGTGCCCAAGTGGGGCAGGCAGCCATCGGTGAACAGAAAGGGTGAACTACAGCAACCTACAACAACGACGTTGGGCCATCAGACGGCAAGCCTGGTATCAGAACTCCCATAGGGGACCAGCTGGTGGGAGAAGCCTGGTCTCCAGCGTGTGTCCTCCCCAGGGCGTGTCTTCCCCAGCTCCTTCTAGGCTCCAGTTCCAGCACAGCACTGCAGGGGCTGACCCTGACCCACTAGGGACAAACCCTGCTGACCCTTCCACCCGGTTCTGGTGAAGCACCAGCGGCCAGAGGCTCTGGCCCGAAGTCCGCCCACCAGAAAACTATTCCCACCAATCCCGTGACTGACCGCTAGGAGCCTGTCCAGCCCCGCCTCTGGTCTGGGCCTCGGTTCTACATTCAAGGTCCTTATTTTGCAGCCAGCCTCTCCCCTACGGGAGCCCTTTCCCTCACCCACGTGGCCTCGGGTCCCCTGTCCCGCCCGTCCTGGAGCTGACCAATGCTCTTGTCCAGGAAGTCCATGGATTCCTCGCTGGTGCTGAAGTGGCTGGAGGTGGCCTTCTTGTGGGAGTCCTGCTCCACATCGGAGCCCGTGTGCACCAAGGAGTTGGTGCTCATGGGCGAGCATGTCATGTCCGACAAGTGAAATGACGCAGCCTGCACCGGCGCCCAGCAGGGGCTTGCTCATGCGGATCTTGGGTGAGGCCGTCATGTCAAAGTTGAGCTTGACCTTCTCCTGCTTGTCCGTCTTGGTGCACACCTGTAACCCCAGCTGGGCTGGGGAGGCTGACGCAGGAGGATCACAAGTTCAAAGCCAGCCTCAGCAATTTAGAGAGGGTCTAAGCAACTCAGTGAGACTCTGTCTCTAATAAAATACAAAATAGGACTAGGGATGTGGCTCAGTGTCAAGTGCCCCTAAATTCAATCCCCAGTAGCTCCCCCAAAAAAGAAAAAAATAAATTTGCAAGTATTTAATAAAATAGTTCTTTTTTCATTGTTGTTGTTGTTGTCATCTAGTCTTTTTTTTTTTCCAAACAGATCCTGATATGTTACCCAGGCTGACCTTGAACTCTTAGGTTCAAGACAGCCTCCAGCTTTAGCCAAGTAGCTGGTATGACAGGCCAGCATCACCACTCCCAACCCAGTTCCTAAATTTTTAACTTGGCTGTACATGTGCAGATCTATCATAAAACTTAAAAAAAAAAACCACACACAAGCAAATTCTTCTAAAAGACAAAAGGCACACATGGGACTCGAGGAACATGCCTGGAGTTGGGAAGGAGGCCCCCAGGCCCACACCAGCACTTACTAAGCTGACAGGAGCCGCACATTGAATTCTCCCTCCGCTGTGTTCAGGCTTATGTTTTGGCTCCTCCACCCAGACGTGAGCTCCCCGAGCAAGGGACAGTAGGTTGGCCTCTGGTGCACCTCTGAAATCTCTGAGAAAGGGACAGAGCATTGGCCTCTGGTGCACCTCTGAACTCCCAGAGCAGGGGACAGTGCATTGGCCTTTGTGCCAACGAGCCTGGACTCATGCTGCCTGGTCCCACCAGAGCAGCTGTCTGTGAGCCTGCCCCTCTCTGCCTGCCTCTGGGGAGTCAGTAACCCCTCCTGGAAAGAGGGACTCCCCTGGGGAGAACCTCCCCAGCAGTCATGAGCAGAAAGGTGGCTGTCAGGACACAGGATGCTGGTCATTTCTGACACTTGGAGAACATCTGGACATTTTAGGGTTTTTCTGTCACTGCAGCACTGTGGACAGTCTTTACCAAACCCCCTGCCTGAGCCCGCCTCACTGAACCTGCAAGCTGTGGGGACAGCCTCTGCCCACTGTGGAGCAAAGCCTATACTCTTCCTTCTCACAACTTAAGCCACTCTCAGCGGATGGCTGGCAAGGGAAGGACCAAGAGTTCTCTGCAGGATGGTCCCAGAAGAGGGAGCTGGATGATCGACTTAGCTCCTGGTGCACTTGGTATGTGGGGCAAGCACTGCTATCCCTGTCACCTACATCTCAGTGCACATCCCCATGCTGTGCCAGCCTACAGAATAGGAATCCTAAATCACCAAGACCTCTCACTTTCCCACACTCTGATCAGGACATGGGATCAACAGGCTGCCACCTACTCTTCCAGCTCTTCAAATAAGAACAACAACTCCTGCCCACCCCTGGGACTTGGTCTCCCACCATCCTCTCCTCCCTGCTCCCTGTTCTAATCACACACCAGGTCCACCCTTCCCTGCCTGAGCCTCTGCTCTTGCTGCCCACTCTGCCAAAACCTTTGCACCAGGCCCACCACCACCTCCTGATGGCAATGGCTAGCCCAACAGACTCCTGGGTGTGACCCATCTTCCCAGCGATGATGTCCGCCTGCCTGTTCACTCCAGCATCCCCAGCACCCAGCACCTAAGCTGAGCAGGCTCCAAATGTGTACTTCTTTGAATGAAAATTTAATAAAAGAATTTCCAGCAGATTTCCAGCAAGAGCCATTAAAATCCAAATATGATACCTCCTATCAAACCAGTACCCTATCAAGGAATTTCCATCTGGTCTCCTGACAACGCACTTTTGGGATTCCTAATAAGGAAGTGAGTTACTTTGGAATTCACACTGTTCTTTTTTTTTTAATATTTATTTTTTAGTTCTCGGCGGATACAGCATCTTTGTTGGTATGTGGTGCTGAGGATCGAACCTGGGCCGCACGCATGCCAGGCGAGCACGCTACTGCTTGAGCCACATCCCCAGCCCCACACTGTTCTTTGATCTGCAAGACCTCAAGCAAAATTTCAAAATAAAACTGCATTTTCTGTGTATTCCGTGTGAGGTATAATTTGTGCTGCATGTATTTAAACAGACTCCCCTATGCATTCTCCAAACTACAGGGGTGGGGCAGTCTGGCGTGTGCCTCATTTAACCCTAACAGAACTTGCCAGGAGAGCACTTCAATATAAACCTGCTCCTCCCTGTCTACCAGTTGTTCTGAGCACAGGGCCTCTGCCCTGAAGGCAACTGCTATTAGCTGAAAGGCACTTCCCAGGGTGTGGCGGAAATGGGGAGGGCAGAGATGCTGGGAGGGGAGGCTCACACCTGTCAAAACAGCAGCCCCTGGTAATTTCCAGAGAAAAGTGAACAGAAGGGAACTACCCAGCAGGATGATAAGAGATTCATTTACTGGCAATCTGGGAAAATACATCTGATCCCTGAAAGCATTATTTTGAAAAGCAATTTGCACAGAGATTTAATTTACAACGGGAAAAATAAGAAAATAAAAAAGGACCGCAGCACTTAAAATAGCCCAGGAATCCATTATGATGCCAGTTAGATCAACAAATCCACTAAAGTAAGATTATTTTCTAACGTACCTGGAAAAAAAAAAAAACTGAAGCTCACACACTATCAAGCTTAACACAGCACAGGAAAAGATTTTCTACTATGAGATAAAGGGTTGGTATCATGACAGTAAATAAATCACAGCCATACCAGCGAACAACAAGAGGAAAAATCAGCTTTTATAAAATGGTAATAATAATAAAAATAATAGCCATACCCTTCACCTCTCTTCTTATCCAATGAAAGTGTCAAAGGTTCGGGTGAAGCTACATGTTTAATGCCCACCTGTTGTGTTGTCCAAAGAAATGGGCATCGACCTGCCTGTCCTTATCCCTCAGGGCTTTTGCAGGCCAAAATGGAAACCCCTTCAGTTTTGCCCAGAACAATGGATGTGGATTGCTCTAGAAGAAAACAGAACCCAGAGTTGGCACACATTTGACAATGAGACACAATGAGATGGAGGGAAGAAGGTGGCCACAGAGGCCCTGGTGGGGTTCCCTAGAAAGGGGGGCTATGGGTGCCTGCACAGAACTAGGGAGGGCTCCAATGGGGAGGAGACAGAATCCCAGGACAACAAAACCAGGCTGGAGTCCTGGCTCCGCTGCCACCTGGATGGCTGTGAGCAAGGCACTCGCCTTCCTGCACCACACAGAGCCCTGACGCCCATTCCCCCCCCCTTCCCCCCCGCCAAGTGTGGGCTGATGTGCTCTGTGCCAGAACAGAGGGCAGCAGAGGCTGTGTTTATTCTTTTTATTTTTAAAATATTTTTAGTTGTAAATGGACATAATACGTTTATTTTGTTTATTTAGTTTTTTTATGTGGTGCTGGAAATAGAACCCAGGGCCTCACACATGTTAGGCAAGTGCTCCACCACTGAGCCCCAGCTATTCAGGTGTTTATCTCCAAAGGCCCTAAGGGACATAGGCACATTTTAATTCTCCCTTAACTTGCACGGTCATGCCCCTCCAGCCCTCCATCCCCACCCCCTCTACCCACCCCACACCACTGCTCTCTGCAAAATACCAGCTGACATGCACAAGGCCCTGGCTTTGACCTCCTGCGTCTCAGAGGGAAAAAATAAACACCACTTTGGAAATTCAGATCCACAGTGAGAAATCAAGGTGTCTTTAGATCCTGCAAAAACCATGATTTGTTCTCTCTTTAGTTTTTTTTTCCAGATGCCACCAAGGTACTTGGTCCTTCCAAGGAAATTAAGGCCACTTGGGGTGAAGATCTCACTTCACCTTGCAGCGTGCCATGGCCTCTGTCCACGAGCTGGCATCTACTCTGCCCTCATCCTTCACGAGGACAAGGTGACTGTCACAGAGGATAAGGTCAATACCCTTGTTGAGGAAGGTGGTGTAAATGTTGAATCTTTTTGGCCTGGTTTGTCTGCAAAGTCCCTGGCCAATGTCCACACTGGAGAGCTGCATTTGCATCGCAGGGCTGGTGGGGGCGCTGCAGAAGCAGGTGCTGTGTCAGCAAGATGTCCCTCCCCTCCATCCCTCTGCCCCAGAGAAGAAAATGGAAACCAATCATCCAGGCTTCAATCATAAGCTTTGGTCTTTTTGACAGTTCTTAACATTTTGAATAAAAAGCTGAACTTTGCTGTTTGCGAATTTTTAAAAAAAGGAAAGAAAGAAAAAAAATACCACCATGGACTGGAGAGTCTATAACATTAATCCATGAAAGATTTCTAACCTTCTTAAAACAGGCCCAAGAAGATTTGTGGATGACACACTCATCAGTACTTACAAAACTCTCAGCATTATTCATGCACCCTGTGACCCACATCATGCATGTCTTGTCCCCCCACATCCCACGTCCCACACATCCTCCTGCCTGCATCCCACATTCATACTGAATTCCCTTCAACTCTGGGTTCTGCAGTTTTCCAAGGTTAACTAGTTCTCACACATGAACAGCCTAGGAGGCTTATTCTATCTAGGTTATTTTATCAGTAAAAACACGTATTAAAACTTCATCCAAAGATTCGTCTCCTAAGCCCCCTGGAGAAGGCTTTCATCAAAGACAGAGTTCAGAAAATGAAATAAAGAAAGTAAATCCAACTTACACAAGGCTCGCAAAACCACTTATTTCATTTTTGGCAAGCAGCTAGATAACATTCTGGACATACTTCAATTTCATTCATCTGTAAAACAAAAATACATTAGAATATGTCAACCAGGAGCCTCACATCTCGGAGGCCTTCATAAATGCTTGATGGTTTTTTTAAAGTGTTTATGCTTTTATTTGAATGTCCAGGGGATTTTTTTTTTTGGTGATTTGGCTGTTTGCTGGATTTGGTTTTTAAGACAAGGTTCTTGCTGTGTTGCCCAGGCTGTCCCTGAACCCTGGGCTCAAGGGATCCTCCTACCCCTGAGGAGCTGGGACTGTAGGCTCACACACATAGTTTGCTTAATGATTTTAATGATTTGGGCCACAGTAGGAACACCTTGGAAATAGATCCAACCTTGGCACCACCATCACATTCTGGACCAAGGACACCCCAGGTATCCAGCCTGGACTCTCGCCCCACAACAGCGCATTCCACATGCGGGATCCAGAGCCACAGAAATCTGAACTTTCTTCAAAGCTTCCAGAGACTTCCCTGCACTGGGTCTGCAGGCAGGTTCCTCACCCCTCCCCTGCCCCAGGAACTTGGCAAGGTCTGAGGCATTTTGGATTGTCACACCTGGGGGGGTGCTGCTCCCTCGACCAACAGTTCCCAAATACCAGTCATGTCAATTTGAGAAACTAACAATAAAACCTAAATTCCTGAAGCACCTCAAGGTCACGTGCACCCTGGATTCAGCTCCCCTGGTACCAGCGCTGCTCTCCAAGCCCTTCTTGCTGCTCTGTCCCCCAACACACCATGCTCCACTTCCATTTCTAATCACACCATCCCTACTTTATTTCCAGTGACAACAAACCAAAAATCCAACTCCTTTCCTTTCCCTTTCCTGCAGAAGACAGCACACTTCTCAAGTAACTTCTGGACTCAGAATATACAGCCAGGAAGCTCCTTGATCCAACTTCACAGCCACCATTTCCTAGCTCCATATTTCCTGATCCTCCCCTCTTCTTCGGAAGGAAAAGAGTGCCATCGGTTCCCAACCCCAGGGTTAATAAAATACACTGAATGAGCCAGATGACACAGTATCCACACAAGTGAACAGCTGACAAAGACTTGGAGACTGGTGGCCTTCTGAGTGCTCGCTGAGGATCAACTCAACAATGCCCAACGAGGGGAGATTTTTCTTATCACCATTTTTTCAGGAGGAGAAAATGAGGCCCAGAGAAGTTGAGGAACCTGTCCAAGGGTACCAGGACCAAGGTGGCTGGGTCAGAAAGTAAACCCAGGCAACCAGGCTCCAAAGCCCTGAAGTTCCCCCACTGCATGGTGAGCTGCTGCTACTGTCTCCCATGTCAGCAGCCCTGATTTTCTCTTTATCACCTATCACCATGCCAGGGGCCACTTACTGAAAAACCTATTGACTTAACAGGTGACCAAAGACATGAGTGAATGAAGGGAGGTGGCATCTCCTCCCACTCCACTCAGCTGCTGGGCTCTTCCAAAGGCACAAGGCATACAGCCACCTGTCATCCAACAAAGGCAAACTGGTGACCACAGTGAGGGAAGACCACCACTGAGCTGCTGTGTGAGGTGTAACAGCTCTTCTGGAAGACAACCAGGAAGCATCTACCTAGTCCTCTGCCCTGTTCACATCCTCCGACCTGGTCACTGTGTATCTAAACATTGTGCAAAGTGACCATCAGAAGCAGATGGGACACCCCAAGATGGAGGGGCAACGACATGCATTGTCACCTTAGGTAAAGTGCTGTCACAAGTAGGTTCCACTTAAATGACAAAAAATGTCCATGGATACTACGCAGCCATGAAAAATTCAGTTCTTCCCATGTGTTCAATTACCCAGAAAATAGAAAGTACTCGAATTTCAAGTGAATAGGCAGTTTAGAAAATCTTATTTTCTTTCTTTGTGGACATGCACAGAAGCATGTGCCTCATGGATGCTCCCCAGCCATCCCAGGCAGGTCCTCTTAGGAAGGAAGGGACAGATGCACAAAGACGGGTCTTGGTTTCTATTCTTACAAAGGGATCTGGTAAAGAACGCCGCTCCCTGTCACTCTGGTTGTCATCTTGTCCCACCACATCGAGTCTCACATCTCAGAGACCCAACAGGTTCAGCACAGCCTGCAGGTGTCTCCAGGACACCCCGGCCACCCTACGGAACCTTTCACACAAACCTCATCTTCAGGAGGACAGAAAGGACACCAACTCCAAGCCACAGGCTGTGCAGCCAGGGCCAGACACAGCAAGCTCTAGTGACAACCAGGAAAAGAGCTCAGGTCCCTGGCGGTGGCCAGGACCTCAGGGAGAAAACCAAAGCAGAGCATCTTCTCCCTGAGGCCACCGGCAGGCAAAGGTGCTCATCACACTGCAGCCCCTCTCTTGTCGCCTTCACTTTCTTCAAGAGACAGGGACGCAGTTGGCCCCTCAACCAAGCCCACTGTGGCCATGGCCCCCCACCTTGCCTTCAGATTCCAGCAGCCCTGCTCTGGATACATCTACAAGTCAGCGGGAAACACATGCCTTGTGTTCACAGATTTTGGTGACTACTTTTGCTATTTGCGTCAATTTGTGATTTCCTAGGGGAATAAAAAAATAGGATTGATTCTACTGGAAACACTGTAACACCCCACCTTGCAATTAGATGTCCCCTGACAACATTTAGCTCGCTTTACTCCAGCAGCTGACCAAAGTTTCTGCTTTCTAATGTCAGTTCCAATTATCCGCCCTTCAAGACCAACCAGTCTTTGATGCCTCAAGGTCATCTCCAAAACCGAGCGACTGGTATGGCTTTCCCCATATCATGAATTAATATCTGAAAAAGGTTTTGATCTTCTACAGGCTCAAAAGTCCCGGAGAGGAGCCTTACTGTACCTGTCACCCCAGACTGCAGCAACCCAAGAAGGTGGTGGGGATGTCACCACGTGGCTGGGCCAGGGGCTTCCAAAGAGTCCTCCAGGAGCCACAGCAGCAAGCAGGGAAGAACATTCAAGCTCAATTATCAACTAAGCAAAGTTCAGGTTCTTCTACCAGGACACTCATAACAAACCGGAAACCTGGACAGGTCTAACCCAAATCCTCAACTTTGCTCTAAAGCAGGGGATGAGGTAGTTAAAAAATCATGTTTTCTTTGACCCTTAGAATATTTTCAGAAGTTTTACATTTGTTGACAAAGAGATTTCTCTCTCTCTCTCTC